ATGTAATCAGTATCGTCTCTTTGTTCGAGCAGATGACGACCGTGTGTTTGAACGGAAGGGTGATCGAATCCCACATGATCGGAGAACAAATCTCGTCGAAAGCTATTCGAAAATTCTTCTTCGAGGAATGTTGAAGGCGATGTCACAGTTTCCTCTTTCGTCACTAGAAGGTATGGACCGTGACCGTCAATGGTCGCAATCGCGATCGGCGTTCGCGTTTCATCCTGGGGATTCATGGTTGCCGAATTCGGCACGAGTGTAGACGACTCAATGATCGATGGATCTTGCTTCACCTTGAAGTAATCCCAGAAGAGCTGACTATAATCGACCGTCGTAGGTTCATCGACTTGTCGGAACAAATCTGTTGTGATCGGGGCGACATAGCGCAAAGTCGTTTGCTCAATAGAGTATATCTGCGAGTTCGAAGAATTTTTCACAAAACCATGAGGAATTGTCAACGTTTCAACATCAGTTAAACTTGCTTCTTCCAATGGAAGCGCAGTTGTCTCATAATTCTCAGAAAGCTCCTTTTCCTGTTTTAATTGGAGCGATTGTTTTGTCCCTTTATTTACATTATTGTCTTTTCGCAATTTGGATTTTTTCTTCTTCTTCTTCGCCTTGATAGACTTATTTTCATATTTTTCATTATCTTCAATATAATCTTCATTCTCCAATTCCGAACTGTCAACTTTGATGTCATGGCGAAGTTTCGATTCTTGTGAATTTTGATATACCTTTGAATTCCTCTCGATCTCTTCAGTATCCTTCTCTATATCCTCTTCCAGTTTCTGGATGTTATTCTTAGCAATAAATTTGGGGTCTATCTCAGATTCTTCCCAGCTGTTTCTACCGTATCCTATCAGATTATCTTCATCATCCGCCTCCTCGAACTTTCTACTTTCTTTCAAATGATCTTGATAGTCTTCCTCATACTCCTTGAATTCATCTGGCATCAAGTTCTTATTTTTCTCTTTCTTCTTTTTACCGCTTAAAGAATTCTGTTTGCTTTTCTTATGATCGTGAAGTTTGCGCGCAAATCCTTCGTGAAAATCAGCATCTCTGATGTGTCCTCCATGATCGTAAGCCGAATCCTCGTATCCCTCCTCAGTGTACACCGTGTTAACCTTCGTGTTCGTGACAATTTCTCTCAATCTGGGTGCATTACGCTTCTCTTCATCAGTCTCCGCGCTTTCGACTGCCTGCTGTTGTGGTAATCTTTTCACAGTGTGACTTCCTCGAACCTGAGCATGCAATTTCGTCGGCACGAAGTCTAAGGTAATGTTTTTTTCGGGTGGCGGCTTCGCCCAGATTCCAGGAGCCACGTATTTTGGTTTAGTAGGCACATCTCTGATCTCTTCGTGTTCCGAATATGGTATCGGATAATCTGGAGGCTCTTCTGAGTCATTATCTTTTGTAGTAGACTCGTTATGTTGATAAAATGGCGATGTATATCGATTCAAAACATTCTTTGTTTCCGAAGAATCAAGTATTTCTTTCGCTTCTACACTCGTTGAAGTTGGCAAATAGGTTGTGAAATCTTGATAGATTGTTGTAGTATTCAAGGGCTGTAACCAAGTGTGATTAGTAACTTTATCGGTGGAATCAATATTGGTCTTAGTGATGTTAATATTCTGACTCGATGATGACACATGATGGATGCTGGCGACCGTCAGAACAAAAATGATAACTAGATTATAGATTTCTCGTTGCTGTTCCATTTCTCTGAATTGTTCTTCGCTTCATAGCACTATCAAGGTGAAAAAATATTGTTAGGCATGTGACTAACAATAATTATTAAAGTATAAAAAAAAATTTTCAGTACGCACATCTTCACAATTATTATGTTGAATATTAAAACTGAAACATGTAATATTAATGTTTAAATGTTAGAAATACGCACAAAAAGAATGATTTTGCTAAAATATCTAAAAATTTTAATAGATACAGATTTAAAAATGATTTTATTGAATCATCAAAATAAATATATAAAAAATTCAAGCATGATCATCAAATCTATTTATAACTAAATTTTTACATATTTCAGCAAGATCATTCTTTTGTTATTCTTTCCGTATATATTAATTATTTATTATAATATATAAGAGGAGATGAATATTATTTTAATCACAAACTGTATCAGTTTAAGATCGTGTAGAACGGCACCAAATATACGAATTCGTTTTTCCGATAACGAATTGCGAATTCAGACTCTTCACAGCAGTAGAAGACACTATGTTACTTAGTTTTCAAAGAACGCGGATTCTACGCGGACAACAAGTGATGCTTATCAATTTATGTTTGTCGCGGCAAAGGAGAGAAAATCGCGATTTACGTGCGAACTGCCGGCACGATTTCTAATCATCTTCGATCGAGGTCTAACATCAAACTGGCCGGCAGCACGGACTGCATGGCCTAATTTATATTTTCCAGTCATCTGAAAAGAGAGGGAGGGTGAAAAACGTTAGAACGATTAGATACCCTGCTTCGCGAAGCGTGCAGATCCGATCGTTCAACGATTCTGTTACTCTCGATTGGATTCGTTCGTCAAGCCGTTTCACCCAAACGCCTCTCTTCTCCGGTTCACGTATTAGAAACTCCGATGTATAACTTCACTGATACTCCAATTACAATGCGCTCGTACTCTTTTTATTTTACGGTGCGATTACGAGCGCCTCGTAAAAGATGCTCGAGAAGAGGAATGTGTCGTTAATTGAGCCAAGTGCATTACTATCGACGAAGTAAAAGAACAAGATGCATGATGAAGCACGAGGACGCACCATGAAAATATCTATCAGAACGGGCATAGAGCATTGTGTGATTTAGTTCGTTCAGTCAACTGTGAATGGTTCGTTTCACCGATTGCGTTCTCCACTCGTGGCGATTGTCTCCCGCGTCTCTTTCCGCGTTGGGCCGCGAAGCGTATCGTTCGAGCTACGGGACTTTCTTCGCTTCGACGAGTCCGTGAGAAAATTATCATAGAATGTAATTTCCATTTCCAGAGCAGTCACAAGTGTTTAAATAGATAAGTGCAGGGATGTGTATAGTGAGCATGTAATGCTTTAGCACGCTGAAGTAACATCTAACTTTGACTGAAAGTGATGCTTCTCGTATTTAGGTGATATTTTCACAAAATGGTCTTTTTTCTAATTAGATTATTGCATATATTTAGATATTTTATTGTTAAAAGCGAATTTTTTAATTTCAAATCATGAGCATCAGTTCGAATAATTTTGTTATACAAACCAAGTCGTTGTAGCAAACGATACTCATCACCAATCTTTTCACGAACACGAGAATATAATTTTACGCACGTTATTATATCACAAGAACAAGGCGAACGTAAGAGGTGTGTATTTAATAAACGTAACACATTTAACTATACAGTAAGATTGTTTTAGTATAAAGTATTTTCTCGATACTTACAGTATAATATATGTTCTGTAGTATGTTATATTATATTGTTCCTTTTGATAAAAAGATTTTTTAAAATAATAAGCGCGTTTTATTATTATTTTTAATGACCGATTAATAAACCTAAATGATTCCAATTTTAAACAATCTTCTAACAATTTAAATTAAAAAATTAAAAATTAATATTAAACAGAAATCATTTTTTCAATCCTTTTAGTATAAAACTTCATTATAAATCTCAATTTTTTATCTAAGAAATTGATATTCAGTTACGCTTGCTAATGTTATTCTTTTGTCGATTGCAATAAAAACAACTGATAAATTTGTATTCTAAGTTATAAAAATGCAGGTTAAATATTTAAAATTTAAAAACGTTATAAATTTATCTATAACATAAAGACTTATAATCTTAGATAAATTTTTTTGAAGTCTAAAAAGGATTAATACTCAATTTTTTTCACATCCAAATAAGTTGCAGATAATTTTATCCAGGAGATATCTTCCAAGAGATTGTAATCTGGGAAATATCTTCTAGATAAAGTTATCTAGAGGTAAAGAAATTGGGCATAACAGAAATCAAACCATGACAACAATAAAACAAACTTAATTCTTTCCTGTTTCTACTTTGCTAGTAAGCAAACCTTGTAGAAAAATTTTTACAAAACATATAACTACGAGAAATTTAGCTTTCTCCATTTCTATAAAGATGCGGTTACATTAGAATCTCTTTTAGATTTGGCATAAAATAAAAATTTTTCAATATATATCCGCGATTAATTACTGTAAAAAACTGAATTAATTCAATTATTCTGATTTGCTTTGACCGAAAATAGGATTATTTCTTTTAATTAATTTATTCTCGTTGATCTAATTTTGAATTAAATCGAATTAAACAACTATAAATAGGTGTTAAGATTAAAAAAGAACGAATCTAAGAATACTTTATTGGTGATACAAAACACGATCATATCGTAAACTCCTTAAATATAATTTATAAATAATTCTTTCTATTTATAATAATTATAAATAGAAAGAGGTAACAATTAATAAATATTAGATCGAGACAAACGTATCCGAAAGTCCGAAAAAAGTGAAACAATCATTGCATCTACCCATTTTGGCATAATACAACATCTACATATTTTGATGTCTTTTCACTATTAATATACGAAGAATCTTCAAGCAATATTCAAATAAAAATTTACTCGTCACTTACTATATTTCTGCATGACCTAATTAGGCAATAAAAGAAAACTAATTAGATAAAATATCTATTTAAAATTATGTAATAATACAAAGCCTTGTAAGATGTTAAATTAAACATTAAATTAAATGTAGGCTAGTCTTCACTTACAATTTTAATTAAATTTTGGATTCTTTCTTCTTCTGTTTGAATCCAACATAAAAAGTCTTAGAGGCACATAAACAATGAACATGTTATCGCACAGGACACTATATTTTTCTCTAAGAAATATTACTCTCTCACGATCGTAGATATCAATGTGAGAAACGCGAATTTCGCGAAATACGTGATTTGGAATCTTCATTAAAGTAAGATGTCAGGTACTCCGAAGGAAGAACACTAGGATTTAAGATATCATCGGCTTCCACGCGTTGTCACTTTGAACCGATGTCGACTGAATGGCGAGTTGCGGTTCTGCGGATTTCAACATGGAAGCCTCCGGTTTAAAAAAATCTATGATTGGGTGATAGTTATAATTGATTCTCCTCTGCGGTTCCTGGTACTCATCGTCAAAGCCTCCGTTCTGCAATCTCGACGTGGAATCTACGTCCTGATCGTACGGTTGACTGTATCTGAAAAATGATTCCTAATAGCTTCAATGATTTCTACTAAATTTCAATTGCAACATTAATTAATAGAAGTCATAATCTGGATTATTTCCTTATCAAATCTAGATATTATAATCATCAAAGACAAAGATGATTTCTGCTATAAAAATATTTTATAAAATTTAAAAAATACTAAACTGGTAAGGTAAAAATGTTGCACATTACTCACCGGCTAGTTATATTACGGGAAATCTCCGTGTAATCTTCGTGAGTGGTGGATTCTCGTCTGTAAGGTGGCCTATTGAGTCGATTGGGTCTGCTGCTCTTGGTCAATGGTCCTTTGTAACCCGGTGCTCGCGTGTTGGGCGCGTGCTGTTGCGGCAATTTATCGTACGGCCGCGGGATCGGCGAGGGCTTCTTCGGTCTAGTTCTGCTACCAGGCAGAGTAAAGCTGGGTCTACTCGTCGGGTTGACGTCCTCCAACACTGATTTCTTGTTGCTGGATACTGAAGAAAACGAGACATATTCGCTGAGGTTTCATTCAATGTAGGCAATGGTGAATGATTCTGAGATAAAATACCGTGGCTGGAGTCGAAGTTTATACTGGGAGTATACTTGGTAATATGATTGAGAACGACAGGCTTGTTGAGATCCTGAAAATCGTCCTTCTGGTCATTGATTGTCGCGAAATCGGCACCCGGGAACGACTCCTTCGGCTTCGCCGGGGGATCCTTTTGATGTGGCGGAAAGATCTCGGCGTAACCGTGTACGTGACAGCTGCAACAGGTCGGCACTTTGAATATGTCCATATGGAGTCCCAGTTTCTGATCCCAGGTCAGCAATCTGTGATAGTTATAGATTTGCACGCAGGAGGAACGATAGTTTTCTGAGATGAATGAGCAACTTGACTGTGGATTGCTGAAAAAAACATTAAATATTATTAAATATTGTTAAAAAAATATAAAAACACACATTAAAAATAAAATAATTATATATTGTTATTAGAAAATCAAATTTAAATTATTTCTTGGAATTAAATAACGTTTTATTTTTAACTTCCATGTATGTTAAAATGTATTATTTTGATACATTTTAAATTATATAATTAAAGAAACAATCACATTTATTTAACCCACATACATTTCTATTGTTAAATTACTTAGTTTTAAAATAAATAACGTCCAAATTATTATATTGTACTTGTAAATAACTAATTATTAGTGTTAAATATAATACATTTCTTGAATAAAGTGTTTACTCCATTGTTTTAGTTAAATTAATGAGAGATTGAGTGACCTGTAGGAATGATTAAAAATAGCTTAAATTAAATATAATTTGACACTACAAATTTATGCAATATACGCATAACTTTTTTCAGTAATCATCGTCATAAGAAGAAATCATATATATTAACTTTAATGTTAATAATAACAAGCAAATATTTCATAACTCTGATACCTTTTATTTAGTCGCTTTAATATTACATAAATTTACAAAATTAATGTCCAAATAAATTACTCTCTTTTCAAATAAAATATACAATATATTGGTTGCCATACTTACGAACATTTCTCCAGTCGTATTGTCTGGGTGTGTTCACCTGTGTTTATTATATACTTCCACACTCCGGAAGCAGCTCTTGCTAATTGTGGGCGAGCATATTTGACAGTTGATGGACAAGTAAAACCTTCCTCTACGTTGTCGAAGGAATTGTCAGATCGTCTGAAAGCAAAAAAATAATAAGTAATAAAAGTGATTTTCATTAAATATTGTAAAAAATTCTAATTTTTAGTTATTTAATTTTTTATCTTATCTGCTTGCCTTATTTATAATTTTTTATTTTAATTAAATTTGTTGAAATATATAAAACGTGCAAGAAAATAATTTTTAGATGTTTCTATTATATATATATATATATATACATACACATGCATCATTTTGATTTATTTAAAGTCAATAGAAATTAAAAATTAAATTAATATTCTAAAATAAAAACTTGATAATTTTTAAGAGATAAATAGAAATATGAATATTTCAATTACCTTTTAATCTCATTATTCTCGTATCTGTTCTCCAATGATAAAGCGCTTGGCAATTTTTCTTCCGCACTTCCGTCTTGCGCTTTATAATCGGTCAACAATGCTAATACCATTTCCTTATTGGACCTTAAACTTCTTATTATCGCCTCACTAGAAAGTTAAGGCCATTATTAATGCTTTTTCGCGAAAGCGAATAATAGCATATTTTCTCCAACGTGGAAAATTGTTTTTATGTTTATTTTTACTTATTTGAAAGACTAAGAATGATAGCTTCAAGTAATGAAAATTTTAAAAGAATTCAGCAGGAAATACCGACAAAATGAATGTTGCAATTGCTCAATACATAGCTCCATAATAAGTCGATTTGTGCAAATTACCTATTTGTAAAAAAATAATTAACGAATTTAAAAAACAATTTCAAGAATTCTATATAATAATGTACTTTGTCTAAATTTTTAAGAATTCTGTAATAAAATTTTGAATTTTTTTAATTAAACTTCTGCCATATACGATATATCAATATTTTATTTATCTCTACAATTTGATCGCAGTTATTTTAATACTTTCGAGAAGGGGAGATGCAAAAAGTGAAAATCGCCGGCCTGCCAATTAAGACAGGCCGGGCGATTTTAATCTCGGTCGTATGCAAATCGCCGCGTAACAATGTTCGTCATTAATTCAATGCCGAAACGAAAGTTCAGGGCAGACTCACTGTGGATAATCGTTGGCCTCGAGACACACCGTCTTCGTGAAGAAAGTGCATTCGTTTTCCGTGGGCCTCCTCTTCGGATCGTTCGGCCGTTTAGTTGGCCACATCACGGGCGGTCTCGATAAACCTAGGAAAATCATTAACGATCATTTCATGTAATTTTTGCAATTCAAAATTGTTGATTATCGTGAAAAAGCTGACCTGTGTAAACGTTCCTCCTGTTTGGAAGAGACGGCCTCATAGGCCGTATTGGTTTAACGATTATAGGCCGCCGTCGCTCTTGCGTTCTAACTAGCCGCAGCTCTTGAGCCTGCAATTTAGAAAACTTGTTTACAATTCTTACAAAATTAATTAATATTATCATTTAGTATCGTTTTCTATATATATATTTTATTAATTGAATAAATTATGTTACATATTTTTTAATAAAACATCCATTATTGCTCGTTTATTGACCATTATTTTCTTTTTATTGCTTTGCATATTGAGCGTTATTTTAATTCAATTAAAAACTGAAACTTTAGAATATTACTATTTACTTTTGAATAGCATATTAGCGGCATCTCATAAAAGATCTATGCTGCTCATTAAAACGTATGCGTTTAATAATATATCTCGACTTAGGATAGTTATGTCAAATCACAAATTAAAAAAGATTGAAAACGCTACTTTATTCTTATCAGATTTAAGAAATATTTGTAATACATCAAAAATTTTTATTTGATATGACAGAGAGAAAGACTTTCACTTTAACATGTTGTTCAATATAATAAAAAGAATTAACATAATTGTAGTATTCAATCAATCATTTAATTACACTTTACTTTTTAACCTTAACGATGTTTAATTTATATTTTTATTTTATATTGGTTTTAACTCCATTATTTTAACTCCATTACTTTAATTTCTTTATGTTTTTGTTTTTATTTATAATAATTTAGTCATACATAATCATGGCTTCGTTAAATTAAAGCCTGTCTTGCTATTAGTGTTAATATCAAATTGACACATTTAAATTGCATTATTGAAATTTTAGTCCATTATTTTTTGCTCTTTTTTATTCTTTTAATACTTTATTATTTTAATATAATAACGAGGATATTTAATCGTTAGAGATATTTTTAAAGTTAAATTCTGTCTCCTTTTTCTGATGTTAATTATAATAAACGCATGATCGAATTTGTCGCTTTTATTAATTCTAACGATGCATAATAAATTTAGAATCACAATTTGACGTGCGAACATTAGATTTATTCTCTGTAATTATAAATACCTACAAGTATTGTCCGTGTGCATTGACCTTAATGATCGTTTACCTAAGTATGCTTCAGGAATATTATTTGCTCCATGTATCAAGCGTTTAAAATCATTACAGATTGAAAATATATTACACCTTCATTTACATATTTTATAGTATCTTGAATTAAATGTAATACATAATTCTATCTTGCTTAAATAAATAAATGCGTCGTAGATTATCTGGGAAAAAATATTGAAGTGGTTCTACACTTAAAAAATTGGACTTTTATTTACTTTCAATCACTCTTTATAGAGCCTTCAGAGAAAATCTCTGTAATATCGCTTATCTATTCCCACGCAGAATAAATCAACGTTCGTCTATATCCGTTCAAGTCGCTCGCTAATTAATATCCGGAATGGAAAGTCGTTCTCTGGCGTGATGTATCTGGTGGTATATAGTAACCGCGACACCATCGCTCATGAGATTCAAGAGATGGTCCTTGCGACGAGTCGTCGCAATAAAATATGTCGAACACGTGAAAGTACTTGCATAAAAGGCGCTGTTTAAAGGCCGCCTGATACAAGTGAAACCCATATGCGCCCATTCTAAATTCAAGAATGCCGCAATCTAAATTGAATGAAGATTTGAATGTTATTCCTTTAAACATGTAACACAAGCCGGAAGTAAATTCAACTGACGAAGCTTGCGAGAAGAAACTAATTACAAGATTAAATTCTTATAAAATATATGCTTGATGATGTTGCATAATAGAAGATTTTTTTAAATATGTACAAAAAGTAAATAAAATAGTGATATAGAAACAAAAATAAGTACGAGCTTTTCTTGCTCTTTTTATTATAAAACATTTTGGCCCTTTTTATTATTATTTTCAAATATTATATTTCTTGTTTTTATATTATTGCTTTGAAAAAAAAAGCTTTAAATTCATTTATATTGCGAACAAAACAATTTTACTTGAAATGTTTAAAAATTTAACTGGATGCAGATCCGAAATTAATTTTGTCGAAATATTAAAATAATTATGTAGGAGATTCAAATATAATGTTGCGATACTGTAAAAAATTCGGATATTCTAAAACCAGCTTGATCCTATATATTATGACAGTGTAACAAAATTTTTAGCTCTTTATTTAGGTACTTTAGCAGAACGTTCTTTTCGTGTATGAATAAAATAATTATTAATATATTTAAAATAATTAAAATAACGAAGTAATAATCATATAATATAATCATATAATATAAGAATGTTCAATTAAAATTCGATTCAGTAAAATAATGCATCAATCTAGAATTCGCATAAAAATAATCAAGGATCTACAGATTTATTTCGTCGATAATTCAACTCAATTTAGAAATCGTCGTAAAGCTTCTATCTATTAGGACTGCACATATATATATATGTGTGTGTGTGTGTGTGTGTGTGTGTGTGTGTGTGTGTGTGTGTGTAAAAGCCGTTATTTATAATTATTGCCAAGAAAAATATACATATTTATTAACCGATAGGATAAATCTCGCTGAAATTTACGACAAAGTGGACTTCGACTTTCTACCGTTCTCCGATAAAGCAAAAAGTCGATGCGATAGATCATTTGTGCGTGATCATGTGCACTACATAAACATAATATTATTCTTTTATCTGCACACGCTTTTACTCACTTCAGGTAACACCTCGGGCAACTCGTCCTCATCCTCTTCTTCGCTCTCCTCGGAATCGGAATCATTGGATATGATCTTCGCTATGTCCATGCTAATCGGCAGCATTAAATCCCTGCTCGCGTTTTCTCTGTTTCCACCGAAAAAAGACTCGACTTCTTCAAGTGGCGAAGAGGTCGTGTCGTTATTGGATATTCTAGTGGAGATTAGAGTTGCCATTGCCAGCTTTTGTGGCTGTGACATGCTACGTATTATTGGTATTACTTCGCCGATTTGTTCCCGCTTCTCCGGTATCTTCATTGCCTACAAAAATAAGAAGAATTAGTATTTATTTTATTTTAATTAGTATATATTTTATTTCCGTAAAGCCAATAACTGCAGATATGTACAAATAATAAGGTAACTGTACCAATATGATCTATTTACACTGAAAAAAATAATAGATGTACGATCTCCGAATCAATTAAAAAAAAATGTTTTGCAAACAGATCGCTTCGAAATAATCATTTTTGTAAAAAAAGCAATTTTTTATAAAGAAATCTATTTAAAATACATTAGAAAAATCAATTTTTCGCTAAAATAGATCGATTTAAAATCACTGTTGTTGTTTGACAGGATCGATTTTTTTGAAAAAAATTTATACTGTTCTGTGAACATAAATAGTGACCTTATTAAATTGTTTCATA